TTAGATTTCAAAGTTCTGATTTCTTGACTGCTTATAATTGCTTGTGTCTCATAAGTATGGATATGTTATGTACATTTGCATCATTTTATTATCTTAACATCACTTTACTTTGCCCCTATAAAGCTGTTTTTGTTTTATATTAGCACCACAAATAGCTAAAGTTGCTAGAAGAAGTGTTTGAAACATATGTCAAACATACTGCAGTCTCACTTTATTTCTGTGATTCTCCCTTCTGGCTCTGTGCTAGTCACCTTCAGGACATTTTCTAGATATAGATGTGTAGGTTCCATCCCAGGAGATTCTTTCTTCAGGGTTTTTGTACTTTAAAAGAGCAATGTTTATGATATACATTTAAGCTTGAGACCCTCAAGTCTTGATACTAGCTTATGGATGGCTTGCATGCCTTAGGAAACAGAAGGGTTTTATCAGGATTTTGAGGTGAACATTAGGGAATCCTAAAAATCTGTTCAGTAAATTTTTTTTTAACTGTTCAGTAAATTTAAGTAGTATTATTTTAGTGAAATGCTGTGTAGACAACATTCTTTATATACATTTTATAGGTCTTTTCAAACTCTTTAGTAATTGAAAAGTAATTTGAGTGCCTGGTATATACCTCATCTCTTATCAGGTGTTGATTTTAGAACAGGTACTTTTTTTTTTTTTTTTTAAGAACTCTTTAGGCAATCTGAATGGGTATGGAATATTCAAACACTTAGGAAGTAAGAGCATATGCAACATACAAAAAATATTATGAATAATAGAGATAATTTCCAGAAATTTACTGTACTATTATTGCTTCCCAATTTGAGATTTTGAGATTTTAGTATCAAGAAGATTTAAAATTGAATTATAGTAAGAGAACATTTATTTAAAAAAATAGAAAAATAAATGTACCAAGCATTTGTCATACCTTCTTCTACATGTTACCCTGATTTATGAAGAAGTGGCTTTGAATGCGAACTGATTGCAAAACAAAATATGAATTAGTACTTTTAAGATATGAAGGAAGAAAAGTAACAATACTATATTTTCATTTTATGTATCTAATTTTCCTAGACAGTTAATGCATTCTGGGCAAATTGTTCTTACAGAGCTGAACTGCTAAAAAAAATACTGAGGATGTCCATCTGTCAGAACATACCACATCTTTCAAAATCAGGAAACAAGAAAGAACCTTTTGTAAGCTCAGTGTCATCGTGCTGAACATTAGTTGTAACTGTGTGATGATTACAATGAGTTTGCTATTCTGACATTCTTAGAAGCTTGCCATTTAAAAATAAAGTTTCATAATAAGTAAAAGCCCAGAGAAGCAATGAAAAATCTTGACGAATGACACAGTGTAAAAGTGGAACTTTGGCTACAAGGATAATATTGGGATGGTTGTTGCTCTCGTGACTGTTAAATGTCCTACGAGTTGCACTATTATTCCATTTCTAATTGGATTTGGAGAGAGAGTAAAAGATCTATCTCCTGATCCTCAGTTAATTGATGAGAATTTAAGTTCTGTCCTCTTAAGTTATCTAAGTTTTAGAAGATTAGAAGTCAGTCTTGATGTAGGAATGTATTGTAAAACTTATTATTTTTAAAATGTGCTTTAATAGTTTCAGTATATACATAGATCATGGAAAATCATGTTTGCTATCAGGTTTTAATCATTCAGTGCCAGTGATCTGTAAGTGAAGTCTCTTGGTTGAATAGACAGCGTAAAGCTTTGTCTGAAAATGAATGTAGTATTTAACATAGTATTTGTATTGATCTGTCTCTGTGTCTATCTATCTATCTTGGTAAGAGGAGAATCTTGGTCTTTATAATATACTGTATTTCTGCTGAAGCAGCAGTGACAGAAGACAAGATAAAGAATCTAGAGATGGTACAGCAGGCATTTTTAGGATTAAAAAATTAAAACTTCAGATATCTGTTGCAGTGGTGTTTGTAAATTGTTAAGGGGAAGAAAACAAAACTGGTTTTTAATTTCAGAATCAAGTTAGATTGATAATCTGTAGGGCAACCATCCTGAACAGGTAAATCATTGTCTATTAAAAGATCTTGAAAGAATGGAACAAGAAAGCCAAGTATATATCAAGGAAGGAAGGTTTGCCTATATTAATTTGGTACTTTTGTTCCCCTAAGGGGCTTTGCTCTTTGCATGATCACCTATCTGTGTCTAATCTGAAGACTGAGTGATGGAAAAGTATCTCTTTTAGCAAAGATCACTTTTGTTGTTAAGTGGTATAGGATGTTTGGAATGGATAGAAGGCAGCCATGTCAACAGTTTTTTTAAAATAGATTTCACTATGCCCCCACCCTCAGGTTTAACTTTGGTCATTTGGACATAAAACAGACAAAAACATGTAGATACATTTAAAAGTTACAGATCAGGAAAGGCCATTGATGCTTGTTTGAAGTAATATAGATACTTATTGGTCTAGTCTAACAAAAGGAAAAGAAAAATACAAAAGGTCTAAGAATTTAATGTTTTGAATTTTCTTTTTTTCTTCTTTTTTTTTTTTTTGCCAGTCATGGGCCTTGAACTCTGGGCCTGCGTGCTGTCCCTTAGCTCTTCAGCTCAAGGCTAGCACTCTACCACTTAAGCCACAGTACCACTTCTGGCTTTTTTCTGCTTATGTGGTGCTGAGGAATCAAACCCAGGGCCTCATGCATGCAAGGCAAGCACTCTACCACTGAGCCACCTTCCCCAGCCTCAATGTTTTGAATTTTCATGCTGAATTTTTTTCATTGTTTTTAGACACAAGACAATAGTAGCTATTTCATTCATAAAATTCTACCTGCTGGTGGCTCACACCTGAAATTCTAGCTGTTCAGTAGGCTGAGATCTAAGGATTAAAGTTCCGGAGATAGCCGGGACATGAGATTCTTACTTCCAAATAACCACCAAAAAAAAGCAGGAAGTAGAACTGTGGCTCAAGTGGTAGAATACTAGCCTTGAGCACAAAAGCTCAGAAGTGCAACAAAAATAAATAAGTAAAATAAAATTCCACTTGGACTTTAGATTTGTACCTGCAGTGAATGCAACATGACCTTCAGTGTCAGAAAACAGTGACCTAAAACTCTGTAACTGAATATAAAGGGCTCTTTTCAGTCACCATTAACCAGAGTTGTTCCTTACAAGACCTTTCCTTGCAGTTGCTGTGCCACAAAAGTGATTGAACTGCCATCGTTTTTGGCACTTACTCACCTTGATCTTACTTGTTAACATCTGAAAGGAAAAGAAAACTGGTGCATTTCAATTCTGCTTTATGTATAATGCATAATATCTTTTTGTTACATGCTTTATGTAAGAAATTTTGAATCATTATTTTAAAAGGTTTTGTGTTTCTTTCTTTTTACAGTGTTAATTTACATATTGTTATGTGACTTGGAGGAGTTGAAAAAATTTTTAACTGGACAGAGATGAAACTTTCCATTCTCACTGACTGTTCAGGAAACTGTGACACCCACTTCCATTCTTCTGCCAACTGTTTCCCTTCTAGGACTTGGGTGCATAGACTTTGAAGCATTGTTGACTATAATGGCAGTTTGCCCAGAGCCCAAATGTCCTTTATAATTTGCATAATAATTTCAATTGATTTGCATATAGTATAGGTGGAAATGTTTTCCTCAGTTTTAAGTTAAAAATTTTTTGTAAAGATTAAAGCCTGTTTTCCTTACTAACTCTAACCCATTTCAAGGTTGGAGGGGTCATAGTTGTGTATTTGCAATCCTAATCAGTTTCCATAGTCTTTATATTTCTTCCCATGTTTTCTCTTCCCTATAGCAGACCATTTCTTAGCTTGTATTCTGTATTCTTCCCTTCCAGTCTTGTTTTCCTTAAAGTGACCATCTTCTTCCTGATCTTATCTTCTAGTTTTCTTTGCTTTAACATACCATATTTTTGCCATCTTTTCTCTGTCTTCAGTAATGAGAAAGGGAATCTTTTACTGTTTTTCTCTGCCTCTTGTCTATGAGAAGCAGTTTAACATTGCATGTTGAAAAGTTATCGATATATTAGAATACATGAGACTGAAGGTAAGCTTCTCTCTGTCTAGATGAGAAAAATTTCTCAATCCCAAGAAGCCCAAGAAGATAAGATTAATTTCTTTCTCTCCCATCTTATCTCTTACTTATCCAACAAATACTTTTAGAAATATGTTTATAGTAGCTCTAAATAATATTAGAGATAAGTAGACTGAAAATTCCAGATTCTACTTAGAATAACTAGGAAACTTTATTTTATCTTTTTTAAAAACAAAATATTATAAAAAGCATTTATATGGTTCAAAAAATGTCTTAAGTATATAGTGTAGAGTCTTCCAGCTTTATCTCTTATTTGTCCAGTTCAATGACCATTACAACAAAGGTTTTTGTACATTATCTATAAATGTATATAATGTGTATGCATATATACATACACATATATCCTTTTGAAGTAGTTTTTATATATCTACAAATATATCTTCCTATATGTATTCTTTTATATACAGAAATTAATAAAAAATTATACATGGATTATAAGCCTCACTTTTTTAAGTTCACTTTTTTAAAACAAAACTTGGTGCTCTTTCCATGTAAGTATATAGTTTTCTCAAGGTATTTCACAACCACCTAATATTAAGTTATATTCATTATTATTTTATTTCAACCATATATAAAACATAAGACGTTTCTCCTGCATATATGAGAATTGAAACTGGAACTATTAGCTATGTTTATCCTAGCAGAGAATACTTAGGGAGGAACTATGTTAGCCATCAGCATGACAGAGGATGGTCAGAGTAATGAGATGTTACTTAATGAGCTTCCAAGGTTTTATTAATAATTTTTACTTTGTTATGTTTTACTTTCCTAAAATTAAAGATAAGTTCTAATGGTCTTTTCAAGATTATTTATGAAAAATACTTTATAATCTCTGGTGACCATTGTTTATATTATACTTTAAAAAAATTTAGTGTTTTTTAAAACTTCTTTATTTTGTTTTGCCTTTTTTTAAAAAAAAATACTAGATCCTTACAATTAATGAGGATGGATCACTTGGTTTGAAAACCCCTAAATCTCATGTTTGTGAGCACTGCAATGCTGCCTTTAGAACGAACTATCACTTACAGAGACATGTCTTCATTCATACAGGTATTGAATTAATGGGCATATAGCCATTAAAATTGTCTTTGTTTTACTGATCTATATGTAAATGTCATCTAGAGAATAGCTAACCTGGCCTTAGAGTTGGAAGGAAACCAGGAAAAACTTTAAATAAAAAAAACAATTAGTATGATCTGTAAAATTAGTTGGATATTTATTTGCCTTAGATTGCTTCATTGAACTAAGTAAATGCTTAAAAACTGTATTGTTAAAAGGCTGTCAACATTCATTTTTCTGTGCATGATAATATGAATTTGGAAGTCAAATATGACAAAATGATACCTGAGTTTATAAAGTTGTTGAGAGTAGAACTAAAGACTGATCACAGACCTGGTGAAGCAAGGTAGGCATATATTAGATGAATTGAGGGGGATAAGTAGGAGACAGAATTAATAAAGGCGGAAAAAGTACAGTGGTGTCCCAAAAGCCAAAAAGAAGATACAATCCCAAAGAGGCTGTTATTAACAGTGTCACACTGTCAGGGGGCAGAGAGGGTTAGTTGAGTTGAGGGTGGAAAAAAAAAGAGATTACAATAATTTTTTAGAAAGCAAAATGTAACTGTCAGATCACTAATGGTTGGCAACCAATTTGAGACTTGGGTAGACCACTCTTTTTTTGTGTGTGAGATGGTCGTAGGTCTTGAATTCGACCTGAGTGCTGTCCCTGAGCCCTTTTGCTCAGTGTAAACGCTTTGAAGCCACAGCTCTACTCGTGGCTTTTTTTTTTGGTAGTAATTTATTGGAGATAAGAGTCTCATGAAGTTTCCTTCCCAGACTGGGTTTGAACTATGATCCTCAGATCTCAGCTTCCTGAGTAGCTAGGATTACAAGTGTGAGCCACCAGTGCCTGCTGTCTAGACTACTCTTTTAAGAAAGTTTGTTGGTCAAAGGGAAGGAGAGAGAGTATGAAGATTGGAGTATTGAAGCAAGGCTTCTCAGCGCAGACAAGACCAAAACCGTACTGTCCCCAAGAAGAAGGACTTCAGTAGAGAAGGAATGTTTGAAAAAGCGAGCAGGATTATTTTTCTAAAGAGGTGTTTTAGATGGTTCTCAAGAAAATAGTTGAAAAGGCAAAAAGGCCTGGTTAGCCATTAGAACAGAGAATAGAATGGGCACATCTTCCTCCAGATAAGAACAAGAGACAGTTAAGGTTTCACACACTCTAATTGGTACAAGTGCTTTCACAAATTGTGATTTTTAAATTCTATTTTGAATTACTTTCTATTTTTTCTTTGACTCTTTTTTTGTGTGACTGTGAGAATATGATTTTTTTTATCCTGGAGGAAAAATATCAAGAGCAAATAATCTTGTAATGAAAAAAAATTTTTAAATATGAATGTTTTAAAATCTTTAAAAAAAAATCAAAGCTTCTAAGATTTATATTTCCTTAGAAATAGTAACTTAAAACTGCTGTTTTATCCATTAACTAATTTATGGATGTGAAATTATTTTAAGGTGAAAAACCATTTCAATGTAGTCAATGTGACATGCGTTTCATACAGAAGTACCTGCTGCAGAGACATGAGAAGATCCATACTGGTGAGTGTTGCTACCTGTACTGAGGTCATTCAAACTAGTATTTCAGAAGTAGGGAAGAATTTTCAGTAAGTAGCAACAACTTGTTGCCTCTAAAAGGTTTTGTTTCTTAAGAACATCACAGCTTAACTTTTTCTTCTGTAAATTATTGTTAATTTTTGAAATTGGTTCTTTAATATCCAAGCCCAATAAGTTACTTTGAAGTAGAGTTTTACAGTATGTAAATGTATATTTTCAGTAACAAAAGGAAGAAACTTTTCTGAAATAGCTGTTTGTTTGCATAAGTGTTTAACAAGTTGAGGATAAGTGAAATTGTCTGTCAGGATGTGCATTAATTACCTTGAGCTCTAAGGATAGTAGTACTATTCTCTCTCCCCATTTTCCTCCACTTTTATTATATAGCTTACCTTATCAACAGAGATAGACTCTTGAAAGATTAATTTCCAATTTCTCAGTCATGTTGTTAATGACTTAAAATTGTTTTGGAAGATCACTATAAAGTAATCTATACCCTAAATGTTTAAGTTAAGATTGATTTTAGAAAACTATTGATGCTTCTAAGCATAATGGAGGGTATTTCTTTGGGCATTTTCTTTAAGAAGTCTCTTCTGTTCTCTTATCCTCTTCTCGATTGGATATGCTAGTGTGTTTGAACTTAGGGCCCTGCACTTGCTGAACAGGCAATTGTTTCTTTAGAATTGATATACAGTATTTTTTTTGTGTGTGCGTGATAGAATGAAAGCAGAGTTGGTGAATTTATAGAACTTTGATTTTGAAATTTAAGTAGAATTGAGAATAATAGTGATAATATATTGTATGAACATTGAAAATTAGTAAAGTTCTTTGTTTCTTTGTATTAAGTACTAACTCATGTTAGATGTGTTCCCATAGTATATGCAGAACCTGAGAAGGGGCTCCTTTGACACCTTGTCATCTTTTCTGCCTAATATCTTTTTTTCCAGCTTTTTTTGCTCGTAAAGAGAAGCATGAATATGGGAACCAGCTTAGTAATGGGCACCTAAAATCTCAGTACTCAGGAGATGGCGATAAGAGGATCATGGCTTGAGGCTAGCTTATACAAAAAGTTAATGAGTTGGGTGTGATAACACACATCTGTAGCTCCCAGCTACAAAGAAGGTAAATGGAGGATGGTCGCATTTCAAGGATATCCCAAGCAAAGAAAAAGAACTGGGGACATGACTCTGAGGTCCTAAATTCAATCCCATTCTTCAAATAGAATCTAAGAAGCACGAATGTGACTGGTCTGCTTAAACAATTTCAACTATACAACGTGTGTGTATTTGGAAGTTCTACTTTTTCAGTTTTACTTTTCTTTTTTTTTTGTTGGGGGTGGGGGGCGTTGGTCATGAGGCTTGAACTCTGGGCCTGGTTACTGTCCCTCAGCTCTTTAGCTCAAGGCCAGCCCTCACTTGAGCCACAGCGCCCCTTCTGGTTTTCTGAGCGGTTTATTAGAGATAAGAATCTCAAGGACTTTCCTGCCCTTTCCTGCCAGGGCTGGCTTTGAACTGCCAACCTAAGATGTCGGCCTCCTAAGTAGCTTGGATTATAGGTGTGAGCCACTGGTCCCTGCTCAGTGTTATTTTTCTTTTGCCAGTACCAGAGTTTGAACAAAGCACCTTGCACTTTCTTGACTCATTTACTCAACTAGCACACTTACCACTTGAGCCATATTTCCAACTCAGTTTTTTGCTGGTTAATTGAAGATAGTCTCATGGACTTTTCTGGCCTTTGAACCATGATCCTCCAGGCCTCAACCTTCTGAGTAGCTAGGATTACATGTGTGAGCACCTAGTGAGTTTCTACAGATTTTTTTTTTTGTCTGTTTCTGTCCTGGGGGCTTAAACTCAGGGCTTGGGTACTGTCTCTGAGCTTCTTTGCTCAAAACTAGAATTCTACCACTTGATCCATAGCTCTACTTCTAGCTTTTTTGGTAGTTTAGTTGAGTCTTACAGACTTTGTTGCTAAAGCTGGCTTTGAACTATGATCCTCAGGCCTCAGCCTCCTGAGTAGCTAGGACTACAGACAGGAGCCAAGGGTACCAGCAAGTTTCAGTTTTTTAAGTGAATATTTGTCACTTTCAGATGGAAGGGAATATACTGTAGGAGAAAAAATAATTTTATGTGATTATTGCAGCTAAATTTAAATGTTTATGCAATAATAAAATCTTACCAGATGAAAGTAGGTAATATTTTCTTCTGTTAATACCTATTAGGTTTTAGTGTTGTATTCATTTATTCAACAAAAAATTTACAGATTCTCTAGTGTTTTTCAGGATGTAAAGCAATTTAAGAGATGTAGTTATATAAACAAGCACAGTGTGATTAAGTGTTGTGGGTCTTTTACAAAATGCTCCAGATATGATGCTCCTTGAAAGGTACTTGGGAAAGGCATCACAGTAAAGCAGTGGGAGGCTAAGTTAAAAATAGTGCATGTGAGCAATTGGTAAGTGGTTTTAGATCTGAAAAAGGAAAGTTTTTGAGATGATAATACTATACTCTGATATTTTTTATTGTGGTGGTGAAGTCTTGTGTATATGTGGGGGGAGGGATTATGTATATGTGGTTGTGTTTGTGGTGAGAGGCCTGTTTTCTATTATCTGAGCAGAATCTCTGTGTAACTTAATCTGGCCTGGACCCTGTGATCCTCCTGACTCAGCCTCCTGAACTTCAGGATTACAGATATTTACCACCATCTGAAACCATCTTGTAATTTCACTGATTGGAAAAACTGCTCTATTAGACTAAGGGAAAATCTTTGATAGTCAACATTTACTAAGCATATTCTAAATTCCCGCTGCTGAGTTAAATGTTTTCTTAAATAATTTGAATATTAGTCCTAAAGGGAAGGAGCTATTAGTGTCCCATTTTTATAGATAAGGAGGTAAGAAAAATACATAGAAGTTGAGAAACTTTTCTAAATTTATATATTCTAGTAAATGATGAGCCACGATTCCAACTCAAGCCTCTGTGATTCTAGAGTACAGGTACAATCATTGACTGAAAAAGGGTCCAGAAGTAAAAAAGAAACACAAAAACAACATTTCTTTTTATTTTCCTTGTCTTTTTGTTCTATCAATAATCCAAGTATGGCTCAATCTTTGTTTGTTTAATAACATTTAAAAGGAGACCAGAGTTCTCATATTACAGAGATTAGTTTAGATGATCAGGACTTCAGTGGAATGATGGCAAAGCAGTCACTAGGGTTTGTGGCAATGAAAAGTTTCTTTTGAGGACAGACTGGATTCTGCTACAGTATCCTGCTCCTCTCTCCCCACTGTACCTCCCAGTCAGAACTTTCTTTATATTTTTTAGATTATTCATGTAAACTAAATCTATTTGGGATTATATATGTAGAACCAGAAATAACATTCTTTATCACATATATTCTGTCCTTACAGTCTTTTTTTTTTTTCATGTTCTAAATAGCTTTTATTCTTTGGAAGAAGGTAGTACCCTAACTTTTGTCCATGTCAAAGTATGCGCCCCACTTTTAAATTGTTAAGCTACCTATCCACTGATTTTCTAAGATTGTGTAGTGAGGAAAGCCCTTTCTGAAAGGCTTCATTTTCTGTATGGTCTTCTGCATCCCCTTAGCTCTTGTTATAGTATCTCCCAGTCCCTCACCCCCAAACCCCATTCTCTGCTCCATTTTCAACATGGGTGAAAATCATTACCTGCTTGGCTAATCTGAGCTACAGTAAAGAAGTCTTTTGAGGCTTTTAAAAACCAAGAACGGGCTGGGAAGCGCTTGCCTTGCATGCATGAGGCCCTGGGTTCGATTCTTCAGCACCACATGAGCAAAAAGAAAAAAGCCAGAAGTGGCGCTGTGGCTCAAGTGATAGAGCGCTAGCCTTGAGCTGAAGAGCTGAGGGACAGTGCCCAGGCCCAGAGTTCAGGCCCCACAACCGGACCCAAAAAATTAAAAATAAAAAAAATAAAAACCAAGAACATAATTTAATTTTCAAATAGAAAAACATTTTTAACTTGTCCTGGGAAGCTATTACTTAACTATTCATAGGTTTATTTTGGGCTTTTTTTATTATTCAACCTCTAGATATTTGTGAATATTATGGATATTTACTTAGGGCATATTTGGGAATATGAGAGAGAAAGTCATGACTTTAAGGTTGAAGACCGAAACTCCAACTGATTATTTTCTTTATGTCATAATCAGTACTCAGCTGTTTGATAAAGTATGCTCTTCAGTGTCAATGGCAGATTTGCTTTTGAGAAGGTGCTTTTTTATTTAAGATGGCTTTTCCTTCATATCTTCAAAATGTATATAGAGAATAATTTAGAACAACATAATCTGTTATATTCTCCTTACCTTGTGGCTGATCATGTTACTATGAGAAAATGCTACCTTCACTGTCAGGGTAAGGAAAGGGCTAAAGATTTTTTAAAAACTTAAGTGCAACTTTTAATTTTACTTAATTTTTCTGAATAAATTGCTATAGAATACTTAATCTGATAGCCTGGTATAGCAAATCATGTTTTTTAATAGTTGTGGAAGTTTTCATAACTTGTTTCTATTACATTTGTAAAAATGTTATGAAACCATTTCTAATTTATAAGAAAGTTTTATAGAAATGATTTATTACTTTTTTCCCCCCAAATAAAAGAGATTTTGGAAATGAGCCAGATTATTCCAAATCACATAATCACTAGGTTCCTATTTTTTTAAAAATTCTTTTTCAGGTCTTTACTACTTAGATACATAAAACTTTTATATAAGGATAGTAAACATTGGAATACTTGTCTCCAGAGGTAGTATTCTCTCTACCTGAAACCATATATGGATCTTCTTCTCTTGAATTGTAATACTTATAGCCATGCTAAATGGCTGAATAATGGTATTATTTTTTATTAACTGGTTGGGCTCGTGGGGTGGGGTTGGAGAGAATATTATTTAACCTTTGACCAACGTAATTCTACAGTTTGTATTTCTTCCAATATAGGTCAGAAAAAACTAGCTTTTTCTTC